CTCTGATCTATTTTACTCCTATTATAAATTATCTTTAACTTTTCCTTCTCTCACTCTTCATATTTTGTAGTTCTGAATTTTAGCACAGTGCACCTCCTGCTGTGTTTAATTAATTACATACCGCCAAGTTAACTCTACCTTTTGTCAATCCTTCCTATGGTTTTCTAGGTATAGAGTACTCAGAAAATGGTTTACCACTGCCTTCTTCTGGGGGTCCCCTGGGACTGTGCAGCTTGTCCAGGACCACACAGGCTGGCTCTTCTCCTTGGAGGCACAGTGGGGAATCAAACTCCCAACCTCTAACTCCACAGCAAGACACATAACTAACTGAGCTATTATTACAATGACTGATATCTGCAGACTGATACCTGGAGCTATAGCCTGATGGTCCATAAGACATATGTCTCATTAAAGACAACAGCAGCAAAATATCTTTTGGGCGGCGGGGGGGGGGGTAAGGAGAGGCAGACCTTCATTTTCTTCTCTTCCCAGTGAAATGTCAGCTTTCCATGTCACCCACTCAACAGCTCAGCCATAGACTTGTGCCCAGCATATACACTGATTGGGAAGAAGAACACTGTCTGGGCACACTAATTGCAAACTGCTGAAAATAAGAACACAAAGTAGCAGAGAATATCATTGGTTTCCATTTCAGAGTATTAAGCATCTAAGCTGGATTGTGCCCCAGCAATATGAATTATTGTGAAGCACACGTTCTAGTAAACAGCCAAACAGCAGCCGCCACTTGTAGATTAGCCCAGACCCCTCCTCCCTTGCAAATTGTTCTTGTTCTCACTCTCCCCCCCCCTCTCATTGCCCTTTCTCTCTCTCCAATTATAAAGCAGCACCAGGTTTTCTCATCAGCCATCTCTATGTCTTCAAATGGCTTTTCAGTGTCAGACCTATCAGGAAATTAACTCATCATGCAGTGACAGCTGCTAATTTTTCCCCCTTACATGTCAGATGGATCGCCTGCTGAAGCTAATAATGAATCACCAATCCCTGATTAGAAGGTGCTTCCGAAACGTATAACTGCCATCAGAGCTAACTTTTTTCCCCCCTTCATATAAAATGATATCACCCCAGAGGAGTGGAAAACGAATTGTACTCTTCCATAAGATTAAACAGAAGTAAGCTGTTTAAAGTGAACCATGCACTGTTTGAAATTATGAGCTAATATTGTACTGTAAAATAAAAAGGTAAAAATTTCACATCTCTCTCTTCATTTTACCAAATGAATGACCCCCTCCTGTTACATAATCTATGCACTAGTACTAACTCTGCCTCAAAGCTGAGGATAAGCTTTTCTCTTCTGGGTTCAACATGACAGTTTTGTTCGGAAAATGTACAAGATGAAGAATATTGAAGGAAAAAAAGGAAATTGTTTTTCTTGGGCTGTAACTTGGCTTCTGTTGAATCTTCACTGTCTATTTTGCCATGGGCTCAGACCTACAGCTCTCTTGCTCCCTTATGCTTTGCTAAAATGTGAGATAGTCTAGATGCAATTTTGGGCCAGCCTTAGGCAGGAAAGTTCATTGTAAAGAGTTCCTCAACACTCTTGTGTTTGCTAACATAACAAATACATCTCTTGAAGGACCTTACCCATCAACACAGATGTTTATGAAAGCAGCATTTATAAATGACAACAATGCTTGCAGCTCTGTTCACAATCCACACATGCAGACCTCTTGGTACACCATCTATTGGCTCAGGTTCATCTAACTTCCATGGTAAATGGCTGCTGGCTGGGAGACAGAACAGCATTTAGCTCTGGGCTCTTTGTTTTGCTTTTGTGAAGGGAATTTTCTTCTAAAGAATTGCTTCCAAGGTGCGTTTCTTGAGAAACATGGCAGGAGAGACCATGCTGGAAGGCATATATTTCAGAGGGAAAGACTGCAGCTACCTGGCAGAGAGCTTTCCATCTCTGTCTTACTAGTACGATTTCTAAAAATGTGAGATATTGGCTTATAGTAGCCTCGGAGTCATGGCCATTCAGCTGGACCAGAAGGACTGGCTTGCTGCAGTGGAGGAAAATACACTGCAGAGGCACACTCTCTTTCAGCCTTTCCCAAACAGGTGTCCTCCTTTCCACATGCCAGCCACAATGGCACAGTTTAGTAGAAGGGTGCTGTATTCACTACCACTTCCTTTTGTTCTAGTATTATGCCAAACAGCTTTCAAAACACCTTAAAAATAAGTTCTGAATGCTTCAGTCCTCAGTAACAAACAGAATTTTAGAAGAGCCATTCTGTGTGACCTTGGGCCAGATACACAACCCCAGGGTGCCCGCTGAAGAAGGGAATGGTAAACCACTTCTCTGTATTCTGTACCTAGAAAACCCTGGAAAGGATTGGCATACGTCAAAATTTACTTGGCAGCATGCGATTATTATTAATAATGAGTGAGCACTAAAGAACAGGATATATGTTTTAGGAGTAAAGGAGATAATGAATGAATGAATGAATGAATCAATCAATCAATCAATCAATCAAGGATTGATCAGATTATATGTGCAAATACAGATTTTCTTTTTCCCACTCTTCCAAAGCACCTCACAAGTTATCTGAAACATACGCTGAGAGTAAGGGTAACATATGATAAGAAATAAGATACTCCATAATTTTGCCATTCTTGATCACCATTAAATTCTTCCAGAGTCTGTGGGAAATTATATTTCATTCACAGATTTTCAAGGTAACTGATCTTATTTATATAAACTTCCAACCTGTGCTATCCCAAAGAGCAATAAGAGAGATATGTTGGTTTAATAGGAATCTTTTATTCTTGTTTCTGAAGACAGTCTCACTAAAATGGGTTGTACATTTTATAAATTCTGCCTCTGGGTGGGGGAGACCTTTTTGTGTTTGGTACTGCCACTATTTTTTAACAAAGAAGGGAAGGAACAACAGGACACAATCCTGTAGTTTCTTGTATTCACCACAACACAGCATGAACCAGAGAAACCTTGAACCTTCCCCTGAGATCTCTCTGCAAGAGAGAGAATTTAGGAGAGAGTGGCGCAGAGGTGGACATGAGAACAAGTTGAAGCTAGTGAATAAGCTTGTGGATTCCAGGCCAAATCCATCCAGCAGAATTTTCCCACTGACTGGAACTCATGGGACTCACAAGGACCCAGGTGGCTGTATGAAACAGTACATGCAGAATAGGGAAGAAAACCCTCCCTTACCTGCTGCCACAGTGATAATGCATGGATGTTTTTAAGGACACGCTGCAGGAGCACCAGTTTGCTAGTTTAGCAACTAATAGGAGCTCAATTCATGATTGAACCCAGTAGCGCACTGAAGAACAGATTTTGTTCAGAGAATGGTAACAAACGGGATATGCTCAAAAGTAAAAAGGGGGAAGTCTCATTAATCTGGGTTTCCATAGACTTCTCAGCACTTTCAAGCCAGAGAGCACTTCTTGCAACAACACCCCCCCTTTATGCAAAGGTCTGCTCTTTTCATTGTGCATACAATGTGATTGCTGGTTTGACACTACAGGCTACACTGGTTTTATGAAGGATTAAATGCCACCTGAGACATATTTATCCTAAATAAATCACAAATGGTAAACTGCAGCATGTCAATGTCAACACCCTGTACTGCAGTGGAAAGGTTAGCCATACAGGACTGAGCATAGCTAAGAATTAGCATCCAAGCCACAAGAGCAGAGGGCTCCATTTAACAGGCAAAATGATCAAGAAGAAATCTTTTCAATGAAAAACATTCCTTTGAGCATCTGTGAGAATCTTGCAGAGGGCCATCATTTTGTAAAGGTCACTTTTATCCTGATAACAAACGGGAGTTGATCCTGTCACTGTTTGCTGAAGACAATATTTAAAAAAGAAGAGCGCAGCCTGTCACTTTTAAGAAGGATGAGGAAGTCAGACTCAGCTAATTATGAATCTCAGTGTCTTTTTTGAAATCTTATTTTCTCTCTCTTTTAGCTGATCTGACACACCTAACCTGGAAAATAAAAACAACAACAAAGCACCTGCCATACTGAGAAGCACACGTTCTATGCAGCAGCTAGAAAATAGATGTTTTCTGCAGTTAGTTCTAGAAGAGATTATTTCACTCTGTCTTCTCTATATTTGGTACTCTGAAATATAGCTGATGTGTATTGTGCCACAA